CCACAAACAGCGGCGTGAGTTTGGTTGGTGAGCGAGCGAGTGAATGAGTCGGAGCGTGAAAGAAGGAAACTAGAAGCACAGAAAGGGGGAGGAGGAGGAGGACGAGGAGGAGGAGGAGGAGGAGGAGGAGGAGGAGGAGGAGGAGGAGGAGGAGGAGGAGGAGGAGGAGGAGGAGGAGGAGGAGGAGGAGGAGGAGGAGGAGGAGGAGGAGGAGGAGGAGGAGGAGGAGGAGGAGGAGGAGGAGGAGGCGTGTCCTCATTACTCAGCTCCGTGTATGAGTGTGTGGTATGTTGGCAACAGTTCATGTATGAATGTTTGACTGTCACACATTTGTCATTCAACCTGTTTCACACCGCGTCCTTTGTGTGTCTGTGTGTGTGTGAGAGTGTGTGTGTGTGTGTGTGTGTGACTCTCAGCTGCTGGATCAACATACTGCAGCAGATTACTGACATAGTTCCTGCGGTTCCTGAAGTTACTTTGAGACTTTTTAAGACGCCGCATAAACAGAAGCAAAAAAAAAAACTGAACTGAACAAAATCCTGAAATCAACTAAAAATATATTTTGAATAAAATGTCAACGTTTGTGACTCGTTCCATTAAAAATATCATCACTAACTTTTTTTTTTTTACCAAAGACGCCAGACTGGCACTGACGGAGGTCACGACCTTCATGTTGAATCTACAACACAAAACTACAACACTGCAGTGTAAACATGTCAACATCAGGTGGCGCCAAAGCTGGGAAACAACAAACAAGCAAATCAAACTCAGTCCACTGGTGTTATGAAAACACTGAAGCGCTACAAACGTTAGCCCGTGTCATCGCAACGTAGCCGACTAGCCTTGGCGCTAACGGTGACCAAAAATCCCACCAACCAAACGACAGCTGGGAAACAGATGTTTTCCCCCCCCAAAAAATCAGTCAAATATTTAGGTCAGATTGAAACTTCCAGAGGTCACAGTCAGAGAAGAAATGGGGAAATAAAAGAGTTAAAAAAAAGATTTATTTACCTTTGAGGAGGGAACGTTGGCAGAACGGAACGACATGGAAGAGACGAGAAGGACAGAAGACACAGTGGTGAGAGACATGTTACAGTCAGAGGACGTCTGTCCTGTCTGTCCTCTGGTGTCTCAGAGGACGTCTGTATTCAGACATTAAACACATCGTTGATCATCTGTGTGGCGTTCACAGCCCAGACCACAGAGTCTGTGGTTCAAATCCCTGACCTGCAGCAGCAGCAGCAGCAGCAGCAGCAGCAGACAGGACGATTGTTCAGGGTTAATTTTTTTAAGTTAAAATTTGGTTTAAAATTTTGCATTTATTTGACTTTTTTTTTAAATGCAGAAATTTTATAATTTTTTAAAAAATAATTATTTTATATATTTACTTAATTACTGTACCAATTAGTCATTTTATTATTTTTATAATATTAAAAACATATAATAAAAGTATTCAAAAGTATTCAATGATAATTAATAATATAAAAATAAAAACAATATTACAACATTACATCATACATTGAGAACATATTATGGGATGTCTAGTAATTATAATGTGTCAGGTTTCATGCTTTAAAAATGTGTTGGAAAAATAACTAACTAACTAACTGACTAACTAACTGACTAACCGACCCACATGAAAAATGTTTAATATTTGACTTTTTCTGAAACTAAATGTTTGGTTTTCTTCCCCCACTCTCCCGTAAACGTTCTAAAACCGCTCCACGACTTTTTCCTTCCAAACCCCCCACTCTCCTGTAAACGTTCTAAAACCGCTCCACGACTGAAGGTTCTTCACTGAGAACTAAACTAAAGCCTGTGAAGGTTCCAGACGTCGTCAGCAAAAACCTCAAGGATGTTTATCAGTTTTTTTCTTCCTCTGCGTCACTGACAGTCATCGACCTTGTCAAAAAAAAAAAAAAACTCTTTTCATTCCTGTCATATTTCTGACACTGACAGCTAGGAGACGCTGGCGCTCCAGTTGGTATCAGTTCATGTGGCTCCGAGTGGAGTGATTTTCCCCAGGTTCAAATTCAAGTATTTCCCAGAACCTTCAAGGATGATTTAATATCTGAAAATACCTCGTAGCATTCAGCTTCTGCTGCAGGAAACCTCACGACTGTTACTGTTGTTTTTTTTGGCTTTATCTTAAACTCTCTGTATGGTTAGCATCTTGGCTAATTGTTTCTGTAATCTGGCTAACGTTGAGGTTTTCTGCCTCGGCCTTGGTGTTGAACGTGACACCAGGAGGTGAAGACCAGGAGGTGAAGACCAGGAGGTGACCAGCAGGGGGCTGGGCCTCCGATGACGGGGCAGTTCACAGAGAGGAACAAAAGCGTCTTTCATGTGAGCGCAGCAGAGAAAGGAGCGTCTGTTTGGACGCCGTCACGAGAGGAAGCCGCCAACCTTCACAGAGAGACGCAGCAGAGATGGAGAGGAAAACTGGAACTGTTCTAGAACTTTCTCCAGAAAATCACCAGGAACGCAGCGGGAAAATGTGTAAATTCAAACCGTGATCGTTGTGTTGGAAAGTTTACTGATTCAGGAAACTGTCTGTCCTGAAACTGACTGTCCTGGAACAACACCGTAAAAATCAGGAAACTCCTGACTGTCCTGGAACAACACCGTAAAACAACCACGTCCTTCTTTGCCTTTTTTGTTTTGTTTGTTTTGTTTGTGTTGACACTTGTTAAAAACTGGATGACACTGATTCAGGAAAATTACCCAGCAGCCCCCGGGCCCTGAGCTGCGTTTACAGAACGCCTGCATGAATCACAGAGTCACATTTTCACATTTTTTGTTTTTTACCCAAACACCTCTGCAAACTTGGAATGTGTTCAAAACACACACTCACACACACACTCACACACACTCACACACAGATCTGTCCATCTAGTGATGAGCCAGTCCTCCAGTTCAGGCCTGAACTCGTTCCTCCCACAAACCATTACGAGGTTAAATCGTCTTCCACCGCCGTCTGCTGAAGCTCAGACAAATTATTTTCTTCTGATGATAAAAAAACATCAGCATCATGTGACATCAAAGACCAAACTAATCAAATGAAGACAAACGGATTAGAGACGATGGACAGAGAGACACTGATGGAGGAGAGAGGAGGACGGGTCGTGACCCTGGGTCTCCGTCGTCCGACAGAACCTTCCAGAAACACCTTTTTCCTCACAGCCTTTTCAGCCCAGTCCTATTTTTAAACCTGCGTCTCCGTCCATCTGTCCATCTGTCCATCTGTCTCTCACCCTCGTCTCTCATTTCACAAACCGGTTATTTGATTCTGGAAACAACACTGATCACACCCAGGACGGGAGACATTTGCCCCCCCCCCTCACCCCTCTCCTCCTCCTCCTCACCCCATCATCTCCACTATTCCACTGAGAACAGTTTCACTAAAACGAAAAAAAAGAACTGACAAACGAGCAGATAAAGTTCTAGGACCCGTCTTCAACAGCTGTCTCTGTCCCTGTCTCTGTCCCTGTCCACACGTTAGCAGCAGCTATTTACAGCCGTGACGTTCACGGGACACAGAAGGTGTCGCGTTAGTCACCCTGAGTCACTCAGTGTCATCGTGTCAGTCACTTTCTCACACTGTAACAGGAACTAGAACCGATTCATTAGTTCCAGTGGTTTTATGTCCTGAACGTGGAAACGTTTTTTCTGTTCTTCTTCACGTAGTCCAACAGCCGCCGTCACATGACCAGCAGCAGCAGCCGTGTATCACATGACGCGCAGATAACGCTGCGGCTGCGTCGCCCACAGCTGCCCCACCGCCCGACACACCCCGACACACCTAACAGCTGTGGGACACAGCGGGAGTGTGGGTGGGTGTGGAGGGGAGGGGTCGGGGTCGTCAGGGTCAGTGATCAGAGGAGGAGGAGGGTCTGAATTTAATTTAAATTCATTTAATTTTCATCTTTGATCTGGTCTTTGAAGAGTTCAGTTTCTGGGTTGGTTTGGACTGAGCTCTGACTCAGCACTTCCTGTTTCTGTGAATCATCTGGACTGGAACGATCCACCACGCCCTCCAGCGCTAACATCAGCTAACGTCAGCTAACACTACAGATGATAAATATATAAATATATATAAATATATTTATATAAATATATATATATATTTATATAAATATATATGTATATATAT